GGCCAACCTGGTCTACATAGTGAGTTCCAGGACAGCGGGGGCTACAGGGAGACCCTGTCTCAAAAAGACTGAAAAAGAAAAAAATTTAAACATGTACTTGTCTATATGATAAATGGCCTTTCTCATTTGGGAAATTAGATTCAATTAAGGCTACCTTTGTGCAGTGGGCCTGGCTAATGTGACCAAGGAAGGACCTCAGAGGAAAACAGTCCCACCTTTGAATGGGGGGAATGTGTTAAAGCAGCAGCAAATGGGAGTTCTTGACCTGACCTCCCCATCCCCCTTACCCAAGGAAGGATGGGGAAGTGGCCCTAATGAAACTTCACAGAACCCAGTGGCTGACAGTGGTTGGCTCTGGGGTCGGCCAGTTAGGCTCTAAGAATCCTCGGTCAAGTTCTTAGCCTTGCCTGTGTTCAGTTTTCTCATCTGGAAAACGGGGACGATGCTGGAGGGGAAATGAGAAGGTAGTGGTAATTGAATGGTGCTGGGCACCTGGTTCATATTAATAAATGTTGCTGAGACTCTAACTGCAGGTTCTACATCTGCACATTCAACTCTTCATGAATCAAAAATGCTTTAAAAATTGCATCTGGACTGAGCATGTACAGATTTTTTTCTTGTAATTATTCTATACACAATACAAGTTTTTTTTGTCGTTTATTTTGTAAGATGGGGTCTCATGTAGGCCAGAGCGACCTCAGACTTGCTATGTAGCTGAGGATGACCTAGCATTTCCGATCTTCCTGCTGCCACCTCCTGAGTGCTAGGATTATAGGTGTGTACCACCACATCCCGTTTTATGCAGTGCTGGAGGTGGGACCTGGGCTTCATGAATGCTAGGCGAGCACTGCATCAACTGAGCTACATCATCAGTCCCCTAAAAGATGTGTGTGTGGGGGCGGGGGAACAACTTTGAATGTCTGCTCTAGCTTTCCACTTTGAGATAGGGTTTCTTGTTTGCTGCTACGAATGCTAGGCTATGTGGTCTGTGAGCTACATTCTCCTATCTCTGCCTCCCATCTTGCTGTGGAAATGCTGGGATTACAGATATATATTATATGTCTACCTTTATGTGAGGTTTGGGGATCTGAATTTAGGTCCCCACACTTACACAGCAAACACTTTACCTACTGTGCCAGCTTGCCAGCCCTGTAACAGCTGTTTACATAGTATATGCATTGTATGAAGCATTCTTTGTGACAGAGAGATTACTTAATGATATGGAGGAGATGTGTGGGTTATACACAAATATCATGCACTTTAAAAAAAATAAGGGACAGCAGTATTTTGCTATCCATGGAGGCTCCTAGACTCAACACCATGCAGATCCTGAGGTTTGACTGTTACTTCCTGGAAATGTGGTTTGTCAGTGAGGATGCTCTGGGAGTAGGAGGAGGGCCCAAGGTGGAAGGAGAGGCTCATGTGGCCGTGGTTCCCTCTTTTGTCTTTATCCTTGTGCACAGCAATACCAGCCATCTGCTACCAGAGCTTCCAGAGAAAGGGCACAGAGGCTAGATGGAAGACCAATGTCAACAGGAGGCATGCATACATGACAGGAAGGCTTGATGTCCTACTGGACCACTGACCACCTGTGGCAGGGATGGCCAGTATACCTAGAGTTCCAGCTCCCTGCCCAGGGTAGGATGTTGCTGGAAGGTGACTACTATGCAGTGACTTTGTTTCCGAAGCTTTTTGGCAGCAAGGTGGCTCCTGGCTGCTCTGGTCAAAATGGGTAGGAGTAGCAGATGTCCCTTCCAGGCTGGCCCATCAGTTCCACCTCACACAATGTCCCTTGGTCTCTTTCTTATCCCACAGGGCACTTGGAGCCACAATATGGAGGGGCCTGGGTCCAGAATTGTCACAAGGACACCTGCCCACACTGCTGTATCCCTCTACTATCCTGAGTTCAGGGTGGACCTGTTGAAGTATAGACGTTCTCTTAATTCTACAGAAGCAAATCCTTGAAACAGGTGACAGCATGGGAGGAGACCCTGGCACCTGGCTGGCCCAGGGAGGGTAGCCTGGGGGTGTAGAGCAGCAGGTTTGGGGGCTCACCAGAGCGGGCATTGATGCGGAACTGCGAGGACCCCTCCAGTGAATAGATAATGGACTCCTGGCCATACTCCCGTGAACGGTCCAGGTCTGTGGCATTTAGGAACAGCACTGTGGCTCCTTTGGGGAGATAAAGAGGCAGGAGATTGCTTACCTTGTCCCCAGTCCCTGGAGTCGGGACCTGAGATCCTCTAGAGACTACTAAGGCTTCAGGAAGGTGTAGAACCTACTAGATAGGGCCCCCCAGGGATGAGAGTGAACTCAGGTCTTCATGGAGGTGAGGCTGGGCTTGGGATGGATCCCCACCCGCACCCCCGCCCAGCCTTCAGCAGTACATGTTGCCTCCTTACCCTGCCTGGTTAGCCTGTGGATCAAACCCACACGGACCCATCAGCTTTCACTTCGAGTCCAAAGAAACAAAGCTCCAAATTAAATTATTCTACATTCATTGCATCCAATTTCGGTCCTATGTTATCTAGTTCACAGGGAAATTTATAAGGGATTTTAGTTTCTTGTTAATGTCCAGTGAAGACCTTCGCCTTTACCTTCATTTCCATCTATGTGAAATCCTGGGTGTGGGAGGTCTTCTATCCCTGCAGCCCTGGCCAGACCCCCACAAGTGGCTTGTCCTTAGGCTGCGCCTACCTGGGCTTTGGACTGAAGCACCCTCCTGGCCCCCAGCCTACCTACAGCTCTGCAAATTGGTGGGAGGCTGAGTGCCAGCCCCAGGCCAGAGCCCCATGGCCTTTAGGCAAGTGCCTCAGACATTTCTTCTGCAGATAGGTCAACTTGGGTCTAACTGTGGGGCTGCTGGGAAGGCTCACTGGGTGAAGCACATGGGTGCCTGAGGTCTACAACTGTGGCACTGGTAGCGGCTCCTGTGCTGAAGACTAGCAGTCCTTGGGAAGGTCCCTTCCGTGTGACCAGGGAACTCCAATCTGACTCTCCATCCTGTCCTGAGCAAGAGCACAGCGCTAATGTGCTCTTTGATTTGGAGAACGGGAAGAGAATTAGGTGTCACAGTGACAGTCCCCTCCTTAACAGAGTGCTCCTAGACAGCACTGAGGGCTCTTTAGTAGGGTTATTCTTCAGGGATGCTGGGCATGGAGGTGTGGGGTTGGCACCCAGCTCACTCATCATCACGTACTGAAGAGGTACCCAGAAGCTCCACTTAGGAGATGTTGGCACACAGAAGGCTACCCCCAAACTCCAGGTAGCCAGTTGTGTCTGATTCTAACTGTCCTCTAACTCCAGCTGTATTGATTTCAGCTTGTCACTAAGTCCAGCTGTCCTGGATACCGGCTGTCCCCAACTCCTCCAGGGTTCAGTAGTCCCTGCCGTGGGCATATTCTCTGAGGAGAGCATTCAGGGGTAAAGGTGAGGCCGCCAGCCTGCCTAAGGACAGAGCCCATGTTCTGGAGTCCATATGTGGAGCCAGTAGTCCTGTGGCTATAAGCCTGGCTCAGACTGGGCTTTCCACTCCCATGAGTACACAGGAACATACTTCAAGGCCACCCTTTAGAGCAATCCTCTTGAAGTCATGACTCCTGGGACCTGCCTCATGGTACCAACTCTCAGAACTCACCACTCTAGATTCATCAATCAAGACTGTATAATTGATCATCTGCCATTATTCACATAGCACTATCCTGGCTGCAGGTGAACATGACCCAGTGCCCAGTGCTGGTCCAGCACATAGTAGGCTAGAAGTAAGTATACGTCCCCAAAGGCACCCCTAACTTGTTATGGATGCCTGGCCTGGGAAGCTGACAGAGAAGGCTGCAGATGCCTGTCTCTCTGCCTTCTGCCCCTGCCCCAGCTGTACCTGCCATGATGTTCTCCACCACAGAGACGAAGTAGGCAGGACTGCTGAAGGTAGGAGGGTTGTCATTCTCATCCTAGAAGGGAAGTAGACAGATTGCAGGTGTCAGAGAGGCAGCTAGACCAACCACCAAAAGTGGGCACCAAAGGGCAGGATGGGCAGGCTGATCCTAAGGACCTCTCGCCTCTATGTGTATAACTAGAGGCTATAGTATCATGAAGGTCAGCAGTCCCTCTGGCAGATCATGTTCAAGGAGGAAGGACAGGCACTGGGGAAACATGCAAGAGTTGGGATGGAGAGTGAGGGACCCAGAGATGAAGACCGTGCAAGGCAGCAGTTCATTGGTCTACACCCCCAGCCTCCCTGCCTCCTGCCCAGTTTCCCAGCTCCACTCCTGGCTTATTCCAATACTTCTACCCTCAGCTCATCTGTTCCACTGCAGGAAAAGCCTACTTAGCCTTCCATCTCAGTAAAGACCATGGTAGAAGGTTCTAGAAGCTCTGATAAGAGGAAAGGAGAACAAAGTATCTAACTCCTATGATACTGAACTATGCAGGGGCAGGTAGTAGTCAGACCTGGGTTCCAGCCCTGGGTTGGCTGCAGATGGGGTCAATTAGACCCTTCTCTTACACATGAACAACAGCTTCTTATCCCCTGTGCCAACCTGGCCTGGAGCCTGGCACTTGCCAGCTCTAGAGCATTTCTTCCTCTGGCTCAGCCTGCAGCAACTGGGGATGGATGTTTGTGTGTGTGCGGGGTGGGGGAATATTGGCTGAGGGACTGAACCAGGCAGGGACAGGCCCTGTGTTGGAAAAACCAGCGCCAGGTGCAGCCCACAGCTCTTTTAGAAGCTTCCAGAACTCTTCAATCAGAGAAGTCTTCCCTGCCTTTGAGACTCTCAACATCGCCAACTGCTTTTGCAATCACTCACCAAGAATTTCTCCCCACCGCCCTCTTCACAGAAGCCTCTCTGGCTCTCTCATCTCTGTGCCTCCCATGTCTCCCCTCACTTCAGGAGCATAGTGCAGAGCTCAGGAGCTCACTGAGTACCTCAGCTTCTACCACCCCCAATCTCATGCCACAGTGTTCAGTGGGTCCCACTACTGGGACCTCAGACCTCAGGGACCTGGAGACTCTTCTAGGGGACAGGACCTGCATTTGCTGATCTCTTTGCTGCGGTGTTTTTTTCCTGAGCAAGCAGGAGAGGATGGGACCATGTTGTCTGGCTGTTCACTCCTTGGGACTCTAGACAACCCCAGCCTGCTATATGACAGATTCCCCATATTGTGCTCTAGTTCTTCCCAAACCCGTCTCCCGCTCCAGCCTGCGAATGCTGGTTTAAGGAACTGCCAGTCTCAGGGTTCTCCTGATGTCTGATGTCCCTATGGGCCATCTGGACCTCACTTTGGCTCCCTGGGCCTCACCCTGGCCCCTGACATGGGCTCAAGTGGCCCACGTACACACATCGAGACTTCTGCTTGGCTGCACGAAACGACACAGAGAATGTCAGCGACAGAGCACGAGGTGGAAACTTATTAGCGGTGATATTTCCCCGGATCCTGGCGTTGCACTCGCTATTAGTTCTAATTCAGTGGCTCCCTCTATAAAAGCTTATTGTCCCCTAATGGGAAATCTACAAACCGAGTTTGACTTCTTTATTAAAAACCAACAAGCAGCGGATGAAAAGGAATCACCTGGCCCCTCTCACCTGCTCCTCCCTGCCAGAGACAGAAGCTCCGGTTGTCTCTCCCCCACCCCCAGCCGGAGCAGGAAGAACTCCGTCAGCTACTCTCCTGCTGCAGTCTCGCCAGCTGGGCATTCCTTTTCTTTTCTTTCTTTTTTTTTTTTCAGAGAAAATCCTTTTGGCGGAAGGGGGAGGCAGCTTAGCCCAGTGACAGCTACTTAAAAATCACCCATGTGCAAAATCAACCCGAAGGCGGTGACCTTTTCAAGTGTGGTCCTTAGACACGACTGACTATGCTGTCCAAATGCCCTGCTCAAGAGCTGAAGCTGATGTTCTTTCACAGCCAAGGTGGCACCTGCCTTTGTTGCCAGTTGTTTCTGTTGCCAGCAGGCTGGGGTAGACTCAAAGGAAGTACAGACCCCTGTGGGCCCTGCTGACGGCCCCTTGGGGGAGCTCTTCTGCTCTGCTGGACCTGCCAGCTTGCCTAGTGGAGAGTGGACAAGCTTGTACCCACTTATCTTCATCCCCCCACCCCCCACGGAGTGTCCACTCTCTCGAATCAGGGCGGAGACAGTTGCCTATTACCTAGTCTTTCATTTGCAGCAGAAAAACAGCCCAGCCCTTGTCCTTCCACTTCCGCCTGCTGTGTCCCCTGGAGGGGCTGAGGTAAAAAGAGGGGCCCTGTCAGGTCCCTCCCGGAACTGTGTCACAGGCAGGAAAGGGTCTGGATTTCAAACTGTCCTGAGGGCAGGTTGTGGGCAGTCTGGCTATACCTAGTGGTCCCCTGACTGGACACAGCGATAGTCTACAGTGAACCCCAGCAGGGGCTGACAAGAGTAGTCTTGGCCCTACTTGGGCTCACTAGGTAAGAACTGTACTTTATTTATTTTGGTTTTATTGAGATAGGGTATCAATCTGTAGTCCAGGCTGGCCTGGAATTGACTATTCAGCCCAGGCTGATCTCAAACTCATCTTCCTGTCTCATTCTCCCAAGTGCTGGGATTATAGACGTGAACCATAAGAACTACATTTTGATAAGATCCTCCCCGTTCCATATAGATAACTTTGTGCAGGAGGGTCTCTGAGAAGCCCTGGGCTCAGTCACCTGAGGCTGAGGATGCCCCAGATTTCTCAGTCTGTGAACATGGAGAGAATGGCAGCTCAGGAATCCCTCAGGTATAGGTTCAAATCCCAGCTCCGTCACTGATAAATTGGAAGGAGGCAGCACCACTGACCTCGGCTTCCTCTGTCAACAAGACTGGAAGAGACTGTACCACAGGAAGGTGGCTTGAAGGTGAAGCCCAGCATGTTGTAATTTCCATGTGGTTAATAGCACCTGTCCAGGCCAGAGTGGACCACTTCAATCTGCCTTCCTAAATCTCCCTGTACTAGTGTCACTTTGCACAGCCAAGTCATCTGAGGGAGTCTCAGTTGAAGGATAGCCCAGATCAGACTAGTCTATGGCCATGTCAATGAGGGATTGCATTGATTGATGATTGATGTGGGAGGGCCCAGCCCTCTTTGGGCAGTACCATCCCTAGGCAGCTGGGCCTGGGCTTATAACTATATAAGAAAGCTGGCTGAGAATGAGCCTGTGAGTGAGCCAGAGAGCAAGTGTTCCTCCATGGATTCTGCTTTGCTTGAGTTCCTGCCCTGACTTCTCTCAGTGATCGACTATGTCCTGGAAGCATAAGTCAAATAAACCTTTCCTCCCCAATTGCTTTTGATCAATCAGAGCAACAGAGCAAAACTAGAACACCCGCCTAACTTTATTCCCTCCTAGTTCCCCTTCCCAAAGCCTAGATAGTCCCCCCACCCGCCCCAGACCCTCTGCTCTCCAGTGTTCCCATTTGTACAAAAGCCAGGCTGGATATGCTGCTGTCCGTAGGATGCATGACTGTCTTGTCATTGTAATGATGGCTAATGTGCCAGGGGCTGTCGACATGATCTCAAGTCCTTCTCATGGTGACACAAGAGGAAGACACATGATCATTCCTGTCTACACATGAAGAAAGTGAGATTTAAAGTGGCTAGAAGCTCAGAACACACAGTTAGTGGGTAGTGGAGCTGAGTTCTAACCCACATGCTTCCAGAGCCCTGGGAAGAACCAAGGTCCTCTTTCATTCCATGTCACCTGGGGTGTGGCTCTGGTATCACTCCCCTCCACATCCCCCTGGTCTCATGTCCTCACGTGCAGACAGAACCTACAACAGAGGTGATGGGTTGAAAGGTAGGCCTGGGTAGGCCAGAAGGACAGCGTTGGGGGCTATGGTCAGGATGGGGAAACCAAGGCCAGGCTGGGAGATGTGATCATGTGACAGGAAAGCGAGCCAGCGAGCCTGCTCTGGGGACTTTGCTGACTTGTGTTACACCACTGTAGATGTCCCAGCTGACAGTCTGATTTAAGCCAGTAGAACACTAACTCCCACCCACGTGGGATCACCCTCTGCTGCAGACAGGGAGGGGGCATGCTGGTGTGTGCTTCAGCATGTGGGGGTCCCAGGAGAGAAAGACCTGTGGGCCCTGCTTGTCAGGCCACGGTCTGTGTCCCTGACATGGCTTGGGGAGCGGTATGTGGCAAATGAGCCGGCATGGAGATGGATTTGGGGATTGATAATTTCAGACAGGAAAGCACCAAGGTATGTTTGATATTCATGTCAGACAGGCAGCAGATTGCGTTTAGGTACCTTTAGATCTTCAAAGGACCAGAAAGAAGAAGAAAAAGAGGAAGAGAGGGACATAGAGGGAGACAGAGGAGGGATGATAACCTTCCCAGCATTCCTTTGGAATCCACAGACTATGGCTGCTGAGGAAGAGGTCCACTACCATCTCCCTCCTGCTCTTCCCAGCCCTGCTCCCCAGAGAGTAGCTATCCTGAAGACCTGCTTGGAGCCAAAGCAGGGCAGTTCATCTCTTGTTGAGCTCCAGGGCCAGGGTCTCTCTGGCCATGTAAGCAGATGGCACAGTAGCTACAGTAATGGCAGAGACATGCTAGAAACAGGCTTTGGAACAGTCTGAGCTATGGGGACAGCTAAAAATGTGGGGTCCTGTACCACTGGGTAGAGGCAAGACCCCTGGCACTCCAGGAAACCCTCATCATACCTCACCCTGGAAGGGCAAGGCCAGCACCCTGGATACTTACAAACACCTCGATGGTCACGGGGACAGTGCTGTACAGAGGGGGGTTGCCATTGTCCTTGGCCATGACTGTCAGGTATATCAGCCCATTGGGGATCTGTTCATAATCCAGGGGACGGCTCACACTGATCACTGGAATGACAAGAGCAGGGACCTATGTAAGCAGTTTAGCCACCCAGTCAGCCAGGGCTTCCCTTGTACCAAGGTGGTGTCAAAAGCCTCCTGGTCCTCAATTGGTTTAGTGATTGTCTGACACATACCTGGTTCTAGGTTGAGTCCACTAATGCCAGTCACATTTCTTAAGATTTTTTTTTAAATATCTATGAATGTTTTGCCTGCATGCATGTAAGTGCACCTGTGTCATGCAATGCTCATGGAGGCCAGAAGAGGGTGTCGGATCCCCTGGAACTAGAGTTACAGATGGTTGTTAGCTGCCATGTGGGTGCTAGGAACCAAACTCTGGTCCTCTGCAAAGTGGCCAGGGTGCTTAAGTGCTGAGCCACCTTTCCAGCCCCAAGTCCCACTTCTTTTTTTTTTTTCCTTTGTCTTTTTGAGACAGGGTCTCCCTGTAGCCCCAGCTGGCCTGGTACTTGTTATGCAGACCAGGCTTGCCTCAAACTCACAGAGATCTGCCTGCCTCTGCCTCCTGAGTGCTAGGACTAAAGGCATGTGCCACCATGCCTGGCTAAGTCCCACTTCTTTAGAGATGGAAAGGCTATGGCCGAGAAGACTGAGAGGCAGCCACACAGACCTGCTCAGAGGACAGGGAGGCTCAGCCAGTCGGTCTCCTCCATGGGCTCCTCAGCTCGGGCTTCTGGTATACTTGCATGGCTGGCCATGGGCCCAAGATCCAGACAAAAGTCTGGTTGGTGTGAGATAGCTGTTGGCCGTGGGGAGGCATGACATCTGCCCATATCCTGCCAAAGCCACAGGTGGCAGGTAGCTTCCTGAGAAGTGCAGGGTGTGTGGGAGATGGAGAATGCCTCTGGCCCTGGGGGGGGGTGCTGTGAGTGCAAGGGGCCCACCAACCCTCCTCCCAGCTGGACCCTCAGCCTTGTCCCACTCGCACCTCCATAGCCTTCGTACACGCTGATGTCAAAGTAGCTGCCGAAGGCAGAGGCATTGACGATGCTGTAGGTGATCTGGTTGTTGGGAGGGGAGTCTTCATCTGTTGCCTGCAATGGACAGGGCAGACAGGCCCCAGTGAGCCTTCAGAAGGCCCAGGGTCAGGTAACGGAGGAAGGAAGGCAGGCTGGCCCCTCTCAGACTCCTTCTTTGGCTGATGCCTCTCAAGTTACCTCCTGGCCCAAGACCTTGAGGAGCCCCTCATTCCTCAGTGAGTCCATACCCAACAAAACCCTCTCCCTTTCATTTGTTGGATACAGAGGTGGACTGGGAAATCAAGAGGCAAGGCTGGGGCTGAGATGTGGCAACAGGCTCTCTCAGAGGATACCTGGCATGCCAATGTCCCCACCCTCTGTCCTAGCCCCAACACTTCAGCCCATAGACACTTCCCCTGACCTTAAGACCAAGGTAGGGCCAGTTATGATTTGGATGTAATTTGTTCCCAAGGGTCCATGTACTGGTGGCTTGGTCCCAGGGTAGTGCATTAACAGTGATACTTTTAAGGGGTAAGGCCTAGTGGGAGGTGGTCAGGTCCCTGGAGGCTTTGTCACCAGTAATGGAGAGACCCTGGTTAGTTCTCTCAAGATTGAATTGCTATCTCAATCTTGGCAGATGAGCTTCCTCACACGTTTCTGTCATGATGCCATCTGCCACACTGTGAGGTAGCCAGAGGTCAAATGGATGGAGCCACCCAGTCTTGGATTTTAGCCTCCACAGCTACATATAGAGACACAGACACACATGCATGCACACAAACTCTGTTTTCTTTATAAAATATGCAGTCTTGGGTATTGTGTTATAGCAACAGAAAACAGACTAAGACCAGGACCCTTGTGCTATGTATCCCACCAGTCCCCTTGTGCCCACTGTAATTTCTTATTAGTTGTTGACTGTAATTAGTTCATCAGCTGAATGTGAGCAGGACCCTATGATTTGAGTATATCTTTCAGCATATAGCAGGTCCCTAATAAATGCATGGTACATGTAAACAATGAGGGAAGAAAGCAGTCAGAAAGGGGTCAGGGATCCTCCCCCGTGACTGTAGGGATGAATGGATTAGCTTCTTCCACAATGTGTCTGACCCCAGAGAGCCTCCAGGGCTTTCTAGCACCTTGGGCACATCTGGGCCTGAGTGGAAGGGAAAGGCAGGGTCTGCTAGGGGAGTCATGCTATGTTGGGTGGCATATGTCCTACCTTCTGTGCACCCATGCCCACCCACTGCCCCTGCCTTCATCACTGTCTGCTTCAGAAACAAGCTCCAAATATAGACCCTGGGTCCTGTCACTTAGGACAAGTTATGTGGGAAGGGAGGTGGGGACATGAAGTCTGTAGTTAGAGCTCACAGACAGTACAGATGTGCTGCAGGGGTGTGTGTGCAGAGCACAGCTTCCATTTGAGGGTAGCCTTGCTTTTCTGCCAATATGCTGTGTCTTCTCAGCCCATCTTTGCCCCACTTCCCCCTCTACAAAATGGGATTGGAGCCTGTGGTCTCTATGGACACTCTATATGTATATGTGCACCTGTGTGAGTGCGCACGAGGCCAGACGTCAACATCAGGTGTCTCCCCCTTTACTCTCCATCTTGTTGTTTTAGATTTATTTATTTATTTATTTATTTATTATTTATTTATTTAATTATTTTTATTTTTATGTGTATGAGTGTATTGCCTGCACGTATGTGAGTGCACCCTTTCATACAGCAGTTCTTCATCAAATTTAGACCCCCTTCCCCAGTCATGCCTCCGCATCCGTCCTACCTCATGTATTCTGCCATACATTTAAGTCTTATTTATTCAGGCATTTGTGCCCAAATGGCCTTCAATATAAATGGGTCCACTGGAGTCTGGTCAGCACATCTAGTGACCATATGTCAGTCATCCTCTTTCATGCGCAGCAGCAGTCTGTACTAGGTGACACATCTACAGCTGAACCTCTACAACTAAGGCTCATGGAACATTGCAGAACAAATTTGTTTTTATGTGTATGGTATGGGTATTTTGCCTGCATGTATCTAAGCACATCTGTGCATACAATGCCTGAGGAGACCAGAAGGGGTGTCAAGTCCCCTGGAACTGGAGTTATGGACAGTTACTAACCACTGTGTGGTTTTTGGGAACTGAACTCAGGTCCTTTGCAAGAGCAGCCAGGGCACTTAACTGCTAAACTCTCTCTCTAGCTCCTACCTTTTAAAAAAGATTTATATGTATGTTTTTCCTGCATGCATGTATGTGCACTGTGTGTGTGCCCATAGAAGTTAGAAGAGGGCATCGGATCTCCTGGAACTGTAATTATGGACAGTTGTGATCTACCATGTGAGTGCTGGGAATTGAACCTGGGTCCTCTGCAAGTACTTTTAACTGCTGGGCCATCTCTCCAAGCCCCATTCACTTTATTTTTTGAGACAGGGCTTCTCACTAGACCAACTGACTATACTGGCTAGCCAGCAAGCCCCAGGAAATCCTCCTGCATCTCTGCCCCAGTGCTGGGACTACAGGTAAAGCTACCACACCTGGCTTGTATATGGGTGCTGGGGATTAAATTCAATTCCTCATGTTTGAGTGGCAGACACCTCAGTGACTGGGCCATCTCACCAGCCCCTTTGTGGACACGTTGATGTGGTGTTTCACAAGGGACCGATGCGCCACTCCATGGCCTTGCCAGGGAGATGGGGATGTCCTTATGCTAAATGGTCTGAAATCTGAGTGGAGACAGACACTCTGAATGGAGATGATGCTCAGAGGACACCCCACCCCCGCCAGCTTGTAGATGGGAGGTTTGCACCTCCCACCAAAGTTCTGAAGGCAAGGTGCCCAGAAAGAACTGGGGGGGGGGGTGAAATGAGCAAACGCAGGGCTCCCAGGCCTTACCCGGAGCCGCACCAGCTGTGTGACAGAGGGTTCGTTCTCCCTTAGAGCACCCACATAGGCATCCTTCTGGAAGGTGGGCACATTGTCATTGACATCTAGCACATTGATCCGGACCCGGCCTGTGGTCTCCTCACCACCTCCATCCCGGGCAATGATGGTCAAGGTGAAACGTTGGATGAGCTCATAGTCCAGTCGGGCAATCAGCATAATCAGCCCTGTGTCCTTGTCCAGTGAGAACCTGTGCCAGGCAGGGAGTGGGGAGAAGACACCAGGGTCAAAGCAAGCCATGGATGAACTGTTGCAGAGGGTGGGGACTGAGATAAGAGGTTCCCTCTGTGACCAGGACTTTCTGCCCATTGGACATGTTTAGATATTGGAGAACTTAGGGTACAAATTCTGCCACCGATAGTTTTATACCCAAGTGTTTCATGAGGAGATGGATGGTGGGTCCTCTCTTGGAGTTGACCTTGTCATCTGTTGGAGGGACCCAGCCTTGGGGAGAAGGCTGAAAGATGTGCTCTGGGGACCACAAGGGTCAGCAAGTCAGACTATCCGTCTGACACCTTTAAGCATCCCCTCTGGGTACTCATGTGAGCTAGCAGGACTGCATAAATGCCCTGCCTGGTCAGCAGCTGCCAGTCAATAAACCTAGAAGATGCCAGTTTAGGGGACAGGGAAGCCCTGGGGCCAGAGATGGGAGATTCAAAATCTCTAGGGAGGCCCCAGAAACACAGAGCCTCTGAGAGCTACACCTCCCTGTGTGTCCAGCCACTGCTATGGCTCCCCCTCCCCCTGTGCTAAGCATCTGTCACAGAGTGGTCAGTGATGCAGCAATTCACCTACCAGGGTCCCAGTCTCTTCCTGATCATTCATACAGACAGCTGGGGCCTGCACTGCAAGCTTACAATCAGATTGCCTCATTCAGTTGGGCTTTCAAATGTATTTGGCGAGAGAGAGAGAGAGAGAGAGAGAGAGAGAGAGAGAGAGAGAATATACATACACATATAAACCCATACTGTCCTACTTTGCTGGAGGGAGGGAGGGAGGGAGGGAGAGAGAGAACAGAGACAGAGAGACAGACAGAGAATGTGTGCCAGAGGTCAACCTTAGCTTTTATTCCTCAGATATCATCCACCTTGTTTTTTCGAGATGGGGGTCTCTCACTGGCCTGTGAACCCCAGGAGACCCTCCTATCTCTGCCTACCCAGGGAGTACTAGGATCACAGGCATGAACCACTATGCCTGGCTTTTTCTTTTTCTTTTTACTAGCATTCTAGGGATCAAACTCGGGTCCTCATGTTTGCATAGCAAGCCCTTTCCTGACTGAGTCATCTCCCCAGCCCTAGGCTGTTCATTCTTAGCAGCAGACCTGCCCTCCTAATTCAACTGGGCCTTTGATCATGTTAAAATGACAGGCCTTCCCTTGACTCTGATAAACTGACAACTTGGCCCGAGCTAGCCAAGCACTATATTACTACAATGTGCAAAGTGGCACGGGGTGGGTGGGGTGGGTGGGGGGGGTGAGACAAGTGATCCACTTAGTGCCTGCTGCCCACTGAGAGACACTTCCTGCTAGGGACTGTGTGTTCTGATGTTAAGGGCCATGTGCAAAGGCCTGGCCCTGGCGCTTACCAGTTCTGTGAATTGTTAGTGAATTTTTGTACATAACAGCCTGTCTGAGCTGGAGTTTTCTCATCTTTCTGATGGTAGTGACGGCAGTGCTGAGCACTGAGTTCCCCCAGCCCTTGGTAGTAAGGATAACCCAGGACAATGCACAGAAAGTGTTTGACAAAGCACTTGGTACAGAGTAGGGTCTGGAATGTCAGTGGCAGCTGCTGGTGGCAGGGATGGAGGTGTGTGATGTCACTGCTTCCTAACCTCATAGATTTAATCTTCTCCATCCTCCAAGCTACAGCCAGACAAACCCTGTCCCAGAGAGCTAAGGGGCTTGGCCCACTGACTGCCATCAGGGCCAGACTAGCAACTGCACCCACAGGTTCAGTGGTTTGTTGGACCTCATGAGTAGCAAGAAGCAGCTGCCAAGGGGCTGGAGCAGGAGCTCACCTGTCAGGGTCGTCACTGAAGAAGTAGCTGACTTCCCCAAAGGTGCCCACGTCATTGTCTGTGGCCTGCAGGGGTAAAATGAGAAGTCGAGTTGTTATTGCCAGACCCAGAAAGGGCAACCTGTGTCACTTGCATACAACTCCTGTGGTCCAGCCAAACTGCCTAGAGTCACATTGTTCAGCAAGGTGCTCAGTGGTTGGTCACAGAAGGCTGTTAGGTTATGCTGGAGAGCATGGTTCTTCCAGAAATCTCTTAACAGTGCCTATCCACCCGTCCTGGTCTGAGACAGGCTAGGTGGGCTGGGGGAGGGTCCCTACAGCAAAGCAGCATACAGGATGGTGGGTATGGCTTCAGCCATCTGGTGGGTTCTTTTACTATTGTTCTTTGAGACAGTCTTGTTATGTAGTTCAGGCTGGCCTAGAACTTGCGACCCTGCTGACTTAACCTCCCGAACACTGGGATTACAGGTGTACACCCACTCCCCCGGCCAGCTTTGGGATTCTTTTGCTGATTGCCCCCACCCCTTCAGTTCCCAAAGCTTCTAGTGAGATGTGATATTCCTTGGAGAGGGATTTCTGGTCCCATCTTTGACCCAAGCAATGATCCACTGCACACCAGAGTAGACGGCCATGTTCTGGAACAAGTGATGAAGTGTTTTTCTCCAGGGAGTGGAGCTAGGGTTAGGGGGCTTGGGGGCTCCAGGGTGTTAGGGAGGATGGAGCTGCACCCAGAGGACAGTGGAAAAGGGCAGGGCTGAGCCCTGGTGCTTCAGCACCCTGTAGCTTCTGCCCTCCTGTAGCTTGCTCTGGAAGACCCCCCGTCCCCCCTCATCAGGGTCTTTACCTAGGCTGGGCTCACTAAGCACTTGTCACCTGCAGTCAAAGAGGCTAGAGGGGAGAGGCCAGCCTCATGATGGTGACAATGGCCACGTGATGACCAGAGACAGCTGGGTCACAGATGTTTCATGTTTTCAAGAAGGTCCTTGCAGATGGTGGCCTATTTGACCCTCACCACCATCCATGAGAGATGAGGAGGCTGGACCCTTCCACCCATCCCATAGATCATAAAACCGAGGCCCAGGGGCTTCAGGGCTAAGATAACCCCACTATGATCTGGATGTGAGGAGGGCAGAGGTGGAATGGGCCACCTCTGTTCCCTGTCTGATGCTCTTCCTTCAGGACCCCACTGAGGTCTGCCTCTCCTTCTTCCCCAAGATGACAGCAGTTCTGGGGGTGGCTTCTGTGGTTGGTACTATCGTCCGTTCACCACAGACATGGCTGCAGTTCAGTGAAGGCTAAAGGAGGCCACGTGCCCACCCGTTCCCTTCCATCCTCCATCTCCCTCCCCTTCCCCTTCCCCTTCCCCATTCTTTTCTTTCTCCCGCCCCTTCCTCTTTCCCTTCCCCATCCTCTTCCCTTCTCTCCCTCCTGCCTCCTTTCCCTCTATCTTGCATATTCAGCAGACCCTCTACACCAAGCACTATCCTAGCTATGGCCTCTGGTCCCTTCCCAGATCACTGTCCCAGAGCTGGCCAGCTGTGACTTGCCCCCATGTATCCATCGGGAAAGGACCAGGCTGACCTTGGGGCCACTCACATCTTCTTTACTCTTAGGCTTCTCTCTAAGAAGGCATTGTGAATAAAGACTGCAGCTAAAAATACATTTAACGCCTTTCTACTCAATATTTTCTGAGGTTCCTTTTAAAGCTCCCAGATTCTATGAAATCTATTAAATTCTACGTTCTTTATAATAAACCTGAATTTTCATGAGAGAGCTAATGCACGTTCGGTATATTCAGCTCCAGAAGGCAGATAGATGAATAATATATTTCTATCCCAAATGAATGAAATGAAAAATATGTTTATACCCAAAGAATTAAGATCTTAGTTAACCGGAAAATGTGGCTATTCATAAAGATGCCATTTCCGAGGGCTCTGGACTGCTGGCTTTCAGGGAACTGCTTCTTGTGCCCAGTTTCCATTCACTATACCCACATCCAAGGCCCAAGACAGTGCAGACAGACCCCTGTTCCCACCACAACCCCAGCCAGGTACAGGGCTGGTCACAGCTTCTAGCATGCATGTTGAATAAGTGCAGGGGAGATGCCCAGCAATGGAACCCACCCCCAAAGCCAGGGTTGGTTCCTTGGAGGGTGTCTCCCCAGTGACTGAGCTACTCTTCCTGACAATGCCATTACAAGTAACTGGTACCTCCCACATACGGCTCTTTCCATCTTCATAACCACCCAAGTGATGAATGGAGAAACTGAGGCTTGATGAAAGTCAATAGCTTACTCAAGGCTCACAGCTTGAAACAGAACTGAGCTGGTTTTGAGCCTCATGTCGTTTGCTATGCTGCTAGTCTCTGAGTGGCCACCTCTAAGCCAAGAGGAGGATTGTTCTAGAAGGAAGGGAGCCTGGGTATTCTAAGAGAGAAGAGAACACAGCTCCCCCAATGGCACCCTTTACTCTCCCCTTCCAGGGATTGAGGTAAAGGTAGGGTGGGGAAACTCCGGGCCTTCCAGTCCTCAGTTATAATGACAAACCAGCATTGTCACACAGGGTGTCACGAGACTGTCATCAGAGGGTCATCACTGCCTCTACCTGGGGGAAAATTGACTATGTCATGGAATCCCCTGATGGGGGCTAGAATGGGGTAGGGACCCCAGCTCCAGGTGAGTGTCACCTATGGGGCCAAACAATATGCCCTGGGGCCTTAGCATCCTGATGTATGAGGAAAGGGCTAGAAAAGCTGCAGAGTGGGGAGGTTCTGACTGACACACAGCAGGGACAGGTGCTTTCTGACCCCAAGAAATAAACAGCATCTAGCAAGAAAGGGGGTGGGGAGGAGAAAGGGGATTGCAAAGGGAGGTGGAAGGAAGGTGTTTTGGTTGATCTTGGTTTTCAACTTGACTAGACCTGGAATCAACAAAAAAGGCCAAGTTGCTGGGAGGAATTTTCTTTTTTAATATTTTATGCATTAGTTTATTTATTGTTTATTTTTGTTCTTTTTGAGACAGGGTCTCCCTGTAGCCCCAGCTGGCCTGGAATTTGCTATGTAGACCAGGCTGGCCTTGAACTCACAGAGATCTATCTACCTGCCTCTGCCTCCTGAGGCTGGGGTTAAAGGCATGCACTACCACACCTGTATTTTTTTATTATTTTTATTTTATATGTATGAGTGTATTGCCTGCAAGTATGTGTTGTACAAGGTGCCTGTGGAGGTCAGAAGAGGGCGTCGGGTCCCCTGGAACTGGAGTTAGACAGCTATTAGCCGCCATGTGGGTGCTGGGAACTGAATTCGGGTCCTTTTCAAGAGCAGCCAGTGCTCTTAACCCCAGAACTATCTTTCTAGCCTCCAGGAGGGATTTTCTTGACCAGGTTATTTGAGGTGGGAAGAGCCATGGTAGATGTGGGCGACACCTTCGGGTAGCAGCCTGGAGGTAAAGGGAGGTAGAAGAAGGGAGCTCCACTTTTGCCTGCTTGGCTTCACTCTCACTGGTGTGTTCTTCTCCTCTGCTGCAGCCAAGCTGTATCCTTCCACTGATATCAGAGCCCAGCTTCTGTGGCCTTCCAATGTGGACTGAAGAGCAGCAGCTCTCCGGGAATCCTCCAGGCCTTCAGTACCAGGTGGGGATGGCAGGGGCATGGACTGATGCTCATGGACTGAGCAGTTACCTGGTTCCTGGCTTCTCCAGGGGGAGACAGTCATTGTTAGACTACCCAGACCATATTGTGTAGGCCAATCTAATAAGTCCCCTTAACATATATATTCATTCTATTGTTCTGTTCCTTTAGAGAAGGCTAATACAGAAGGATTCAAAAGGAGAGGGACGGGAGGGGCTGGGAGCAAACTAGAGAGGGAAGGACAAAAGAGAGCTGGCAGTTACACATGTTCTTGCCCAGAGAGAAGGTCCCATATGAGCCTAGGGATCAGCCCTTTGCATCTGGGGCCCCCACAGAATTGTAACCTGGACTGTTGGGACAAGAAGGATCCCTGAGCTCCCCTAGTCTAGTGTCCATCACTCTGGAGTCTGGAGTAGCTGAGGCCCAGGCCAGTTAGGTGGTGAGCCCCTGGAGACTAGCTGGCCTGATCTAATGCAGATGCTGGTCTCACTCCCACAGCCTACCCTCCCTTCCCTGGGTGTACTGGATACAGCAACAACTCCCAGAGAGCCTGGTTGGTCCCTGGGGTCCTCTCACTGCCTGCTCAGGCCGCTAAAGCTGACCAAGGAACATTTGTGAGTCCTTTGGTGTCACTGTCTAATGACCGTATGAAATATATAGGCCTGGTACCAAGGCGTGGGACAGCTTTCATTTCTCAAATGCATGAAGCAGAGAAGAGGGCAAGAACTCTGTGCCCTGAGGGGCGGGGAGGGGAGGGGCTGCACCAGCTCTTCCTCCTGCTGGTGTCTACAGCCTCTGCAACCATTCCCAGCCCTGTCTCTGACCCAGGCTGAACCACAGGCAGCTCCTGAGACCACTCAGGTCATGTTGCTCTGTTGCTGGCTTAGTGCCCCTCTCCACCCTCTTTCACCTGTTCCTGCCCTCCCTGAACCACCCTGTAGGCATTTAGCATTCCACAGCCCCTCTGGCCTGGGAGTCCCTGATGCAGGCTAGGGACAGGTTGACCAGATGTGCTTGAAGCCTAGCAGGAGCCTGGAGAGGCACTTGTATCTCTGTCATCTATAGCTGCATCTGTGCCCTTTTACAAGGTATGGAGTAATGAATAACTCTCTTTGTGGTGTGTGGTTGGGTGAATGTGTGTTTGCTTATGTGTGTGTGTGTGTGTGTGTGTGTGTGTGTGTGTACACATGTACATGTGTGAGTACATGCATTTGAGGATCAGAAGTTTTCTTGGATATTGTTCCTCAGGAGTTGTCCACCTTGATAGAGACAAGGTCTCTCACTGGGACGTGGGGCTTGCTGCTTAGGTGAGCCTGGTTGGCCAACAAGTCCCAGGAATCTTTCTGTCTCTACCTCCTAGTGCTGAGATTATAAGCATTTACCATCATACTCAGCTGCTGTGCTTTGGATAAAACTCAGGGTCTTTGTGCTTGCATGGCA